ACATAGTTTCTGCAAACCGATGTTATAAATTGTAGATCATACCTATAAAAATGACATGTACCCACCCTAGCCCAAATATATCGTATGAAGGGCGGTAGATACATCAATAGGTAGTGGTTCATGTAAAAGTTAAAAATTACGATGAATATCAACACGATTGAATAATTGTCTTGAAAACACAAATCAGAAACCTGCGTAATTATTTTAAATAGAGTAGAATACAGAAGGAATAGTTTTTTAGCCACACGGTCCGTGAAACTGGACAAATGATAATTGAGCAGGTTTACACTTGACATTTAACACGCAGAGGTCAGAAATGGTGAGCACGGAACACTTGATTGATATAGCATGACTCGCCCATGAAGCTGTGATCACTCTATGTAACCTCTTCTTTTCCCTAATAAATTCTTCAAAAATTCTTAGCAGCAATCACTACACTATACGACGAGTTAGCGTAGATAATAATGTGACTTCCACGTAAGGTGTGGTAGGTAGGGTTGTAGAATTATGGTCTACTTCGATATTAGTACTACTCTAATGATATACCTAGTCCTAAAGTTGTAAATTTGTCATGATGTAACTGCCTAATCTATAAGATCTTACGTGTATGTCACACCATTATCTACCCTGACTTATTCGTACGGCAACAATCATCAATATTTGATGAAGAACAGATTTATTCTGAAGATAAAACAATATGCTTGATATCGATAAAAGACTGTTATATAAGTTGGATCACGCCTGCAAGGCCAAGCCACGCCATTCGACCAACATGAACTAATTGAATTCATTCTTACCTTCTTCTCCACAGTTGGGTTTCGGTCCGTGTTAAATATTGAATACCTATTTTCTCAGTCGTCTCGTGTTCATCTTTGAGGATTGTGTGGTTAGGATACAATGCAACTACAAGGTAGTAACATCATGGAAAGACTACAACTATAGAATAGGGTAATTATCGTAATAATAAGGAAAAATGCACCTAGTACCAATTGACATTAAGGACTAGATAGACATAATAGTGGTCACTATTTATCGATCAACCAGTTTAAATGTCTCATTCCCATAGGGCCAGTCGATGCCAAATTACCTGTCTTAAGGACCGAAAATATGAATTTGTGTGATGATGGCCTGAATCCGAAAAGCTACTGAAGATAGCACAGGTATTCAGTGTTCGACAACGCTTTTACCAGCAACACCTTCTAATATAATTCGTACCCTCCAAGAGAAATCAAAAGACAGAGTCAAGGAGATCGGAAGAGTGTATTTGGCGATAACCAATATATCGGAATTCTCTGATCTAATCTGGCTAGCGATTGCGGTAGGTATTGAGCACAGCGTTACTACACGCGATCTGGTGCGGATGCAAGACTGAGCGCCTTCAGCTAGATGAGTCCACTGAAACATATGGTCAGCATCCAATGTTGAAAACTTAAAGAGCTATTTATTTTGCGGATTTATTTACCGCTACACTAAATCAGTCTTTTCATGATCTCAGGCACGCCATGCTTACGAGTGTCAACTAGCAGGAAATGTGAAGTAAGACTTACGTGCAGAATATCTTGCACCATACACAATCAAGACAAAGAAACTGTGAACTGAGAAGTCATCTTGTTGTGGTAATACTGACTTCAACAACTTAAGGAAATTCACAGATGCCTCACAAACTACGTTGCTTATCTATTTTCACCTTATTAAAATTCACGGTAAATTTCAAAAGATTGGCAAAAGAATATATCCTTTCCTCAATTGTCTGGAGAAAATATGGAGAGCAAATGAACAGATGCGAAGAGGTAATGTTTCATTCAGTGTTCTGAAAGATGTTGAAAAAATTGATGTTTAACGACTTAGATATCCTTATCTTTCCAGGTAGGCTAGATACAGAATGTTGGGAGGATAAGCCTTGAAATCCAGGATTTGAAATAGTGAGGTTTGGAAAATTAACTCTGTAGATGTAATCTCTCAAAAACCTTGACTGTGCACTCTGTGAACGAACGTAGTCACGAATGAACTTATAAGAGGATCAACATCGAACTTCGTCGCTTCCGTGGAAACATGTACTAAAACACGCATGACTTTCAAATTATTGGTTTTATGTTTACTTCTCGTTTATATAATATTGAAAGGCTTTAAGGTGGTTGTAGTAGATTTGTTGCCATGAGGGTGAATTCGTGGAGAGTGAGTGCCTTATTTCAATTAGGAAAACCATGCAACACTCAATATCGGATAAAAGGGACATAGTGCCAACCAAAAATAAGGAAGTAGTTAAATATTTTAACTATAATGTTTCGATCCTAATAGGAGATTCTCAGCTTAATTTCATTCACTTAAATTGGGCTGCTACAAACTCACGTCTCACACGGTAGTTATGCTAGTTTTGACACGGTTTTCAATGTACAAGGAGTAGGTATAACGTTATACACCGAAGGGAGCTTACGACTGTAATCAGGTATGTCGAGGGCAAGCGATAGTGAAACAACAAAATCTATTAGTGGTTGTGGTTATGACTTGACAATAATTTTGATAACACGTCGTCGTCCAAGTTATACTGAGGATAAATCCTCTAGGTCAGATCTACACGTGGATTAATGCAGTTAATTATCTGATTGTAGGGGATCAAAACGTGTCAAACATCAAGATAATAGGACCCGAAATTTAAGTCGTTGTTATCACTATTATCCGGAATTAAGCTTACTCTATTTTACAGGGCATTATGAAATCAACTATTGGATTTGATCCTTACTTATATTCATAACTGCGATTATGTTACTGAGTTTCAATTCTCACACTCGTTTACAACTAGAAATCAAATCCTTTGTACTGTAACTCACCAAATTACGTGAGCTGTGTCGATGATCTGTGGCTTACCTCAGTTGGTCAGGAATAACATGATCATCCCTAGCTCAATTTGAAATCACACCTCGAGGTTAGCACCAAACGTGAATTACTTTTCCGTCATGTCCAGGTACCATGGCTACTTTGATGACTGTATAATTAAAACGTAACGGTAATACAGAAATGTGTTTTTAAGAATATGTACAAGAACAGCGTGTGACCACCGCTGCATTGGCAAGTTCATAGCGTGCAACTGAATGATGAACGTTGGTTTTACTTGGCCTTAACGAGAATCAGTAAACTATTCGACATTTAGAAACCTGAACATAAAATGATTTGTCTAGGGCCCAGTGACATTTCACTCACCCTAGAGTATTCTTACCAGTACTAAAATATGCGTGACTTTGTGCTGATCGACCCTGGTCTAAGAATATAAGTTATACAGCTTGGGATAGTTGTCAGTTTTTAGGTGTAAAATCCATGGATTTTAGCATAGCATTCGACAAGGTATTTCATGTAACACGTAAAAACAAGCCTTCGAATTTTGAAATCAGAAGCACAACACACTGTTGCATCGATAGAGTTCTGTACAGTATAAGGAAGAGAATCAGAATAAAAGGGCTTAATTCGTAATACAAATATACCATAATAGCACTTCATAAGATGTTGACTTAGATCATACACAGTTCGTACTCAACTTTAACGCAATGAAAAATCTCTGTAGATTGTTACCATCCTTTTTACATGAAAGCGATGTATGTGTTTGGGGTAAAATACCCGGTGAAATTGAAAGGCTAGACTCCAGTCGGAATTCGGAAAAATCTATTAAATAGCTCAAAATTTGATGTCCAGAAAAGACTCCTCCCACCAAAAACATACTATTACAAGCCAGGAATAGCAATAATAAAGAGTTCTTTATCAACAGTACACCACTGTCAAAAGTTATGTGACAAAAATTCATGATATGAAAACAACTGCGTGTCATAAAGTAAAAGTTGCCAAAGAGTCGCATTTCTACGGTCACTTACCAAAGCTTTTGGATTCTCTGACTGATAAACGTTTCAAAGTTTCATAAGCTACCAATATCACATCTAAGAAGCTAGCTTATGTTTAAGTGAATTATAGATCATCAATGTAGATTATCTATGACGAATGATTGGGGGCCTACTAGTGTTAGACGGGAATGGTGTGACGAACCAGCTTCAGTTCAAGTCACAAATCGCGATCAGCACCTTACGTCGATTACCCCATCGACGTATTAAGGTACTATAGATGTTTTGAAGGCTGTGCAACACAAAGGACGTTATTACAGAAATATATTATTTTAAGTAGATATAAGCGAAGGTAAGACCACTGCCGTATGGACTAGTCCATGGCATACGATTAACTGATGCGTGTTGGTCACCCTTGACACTGACAGAGATCGATGATCGGTTTGATATTCAGTTACCCAACTGCCAGATTGTTTACCTAGGGCCTAGTGACATTTCACTGGCCCTACAGGATTTTCAGGTCATGCCAAGATGGTCCAAAAGCAGACACTAGGTTGCTAGCAGGAGTTTATAATTTTTACATGGGATGACTATTTTATTTTACTTGTCGTATTATAGGAGGCCATCTTATGTTAGCCTACCACACATTGGATAACAATCGGAAAGTCAAGACTGTAGCGGGTAAGACTATCCACTTACAGGTCCTATTCCATGATAGTCTTAATCTGAGGCTTGTGTTATTTATAATTCTTGTTGATTGCTTTGGATGTTAAGTGTAGGTGTATTGTATGCGCTTACTGAGTCGTCGACTGACCACTTTTTATTCTTCTTTGTTTAAGTTCTCCTCACTCACACACTCTGCATCTCCCAGTAGTACACAAACTTCCTTCTGGTTAGATGCGAACCATAACAAGTTACATAATATTTCTCTTATCATCAGAACTAAGGCCTTTTGAAACTGTTTCTGAAACGTCTAAAAACTGTTTCTTAATAAGATTATATTTATATTCCGTATTTTCCATTCAGTGGTCAACATCTGGGTCGCTCGTCACCATAAACAGATATCAGCCTCAACGATTATTGCATTTAACGGAACAGTAGATTTTCAAGGGTGAAAATGCTTAGAAGATTAGTAGACACTAACTGACCTACTATTACTGAAAACTGAGAGGAAATAAATTGGGCATTGGAAGTGGCCTTTTCAAGTCGATTGTTACGTCCGTAGATTTAGTAGGTCATTACTAAGAATTGCACTATCTGTCACTGATTATTAATTTGCCTTCTTCTACCATTTGCTAGCAATGAATAGAGAAAATGAAAGTAAATGATGGTCAAATGTGAGAAACAGCTATTTGCTTTAGAACAATAATGTTCATTGTTGTGTACTCTGTTAATTTATTCACCACCGTATCCAGAAGACTGACGCATTACAAATAAAAAAAGTGTTAGATTAGTTTGGTAATATTATGAACATGCTGCGTAAATCCTATTTTGTCTCTGAAGGTTGTAGTTAAACAAGGAAATCGGACGATTTGCACTTAAAAAGGTTAGCCAGGTAGAAAAAGAAGTAAAAAACAGTTAAAAGTACTACATAATTAGATGAACCTCATCGAAGTCTTGTCATTAAGCTTTGTTGACGAAGTACATGTATACAGCAAGAGTCGGCGTAAACGTTTGAAATGACATGGTCTACAAAATTCTATGTAAAAATATTTTGCATGGAATGGATATCTTATAATGATATTATTTATTATTTAGGAAGCCAGCCAATTATTGAAAATACACCGGAATTAGTGATTTGTACGTAAACGTACGAAGTAACTTATGTCTAAATTTTCTTTTATTTCTGTCCCATGCTTGTTTACTTCACTTCTTGCACTACAAGATGACCTGGCTCTCATGGTCATTTGATGAATCGATTTGATATCTTACTCGGGCAACGAGTCACCTTGAAATCTGGAATACATCACATCTAACCAATAATGTTTGATATAATTCTAACCTACTTCAAATCATTTTGCAAAATCTGTGATTGCCAATACTCAGCTCGCTTTTTGTTCCATCTAGAGTTAAAATTATTTCAAGTTAGTCTGTCATTATGTAAGCCGAAATTAACTTTGCTGACTCACGAAGATCATTCTCAATGATCGGTGATATTCTTGTATCCTTAATCATACTTAACAACTGTTGCAACCTACATATTGATCACGGAATTTTTGATCTCCCAATACAGCTTCCAATGTACCTGGTTCTACAGGCGTCTGAGATGGAAACTGTGAAGGCCGGGAATCCACGTTTTATATACTTTCTCCTTGACTTTAATGAGTGAGATTTTAACGTAAGCCGTCATATTATTTTTCTGATTAGATAAATCTGCAATGCCTGGCATTGTTTTGTCAACATTTTGTTTCAAGGCCTGAAACCTCCGATCATTAAAACGATACAACTTGCTTGTGATGACAAAACTTCAGTTTTCGAAAACCTGATATATATGAATCTATTAAATGAATAGATTGCGATTGTGATAAGATGCCCAAAGATTAAGCCTAATATTCATGTCTTAATTGGTTGGGTAATGAGTAACCTACACCTTAAATATTTGGCCGTGTTTATTTTGTATTCATATTCCGTATCTAAGCGCATCATTTTATCTCACGAAAATCTAATCTGGCTAAGGGTCTTTTATTTTTAATCATTCGGAGGCCTTAGTCATTAACAAGATCTCATGAGTAGCCACCACTAGGCCACATCATATCATTGTATTCATCTATCAATCAAAATTTCATTCGTCAATCTTAACAGTCTTAAATTTCGTCCCATTAAATCACCAAACACTTGCGTAATAGATCTATGTAAAACCCCTTCAAAATGTTAATTTATGAGAAATCTACAAAAGTACATCGAACCTTCAACTCCTCGGAAGTGTACACATCAACATTGTGCTTCTTTTTGCTTCTCTGTCAAACGTTTTTGTTGTATGCTATCATCATTTTACCTTATAAACTTTATTAAAAGATACGACAGCACAACATCTTTGGCATTTTACCCGAGGATAGTATTAAATCCAGCACTTGAACACACAGCTGACTGGAAGTTATGTGAAAGGATATTTTATTTTATCACAACTAACCACAACAGTTTAAAACCTTAGATTTTTTCAAAAAGCAGTCAGCATTGGGATTAATCCGACCCGTGATTTCTCCTGACGTCACATCCTCCTTGTATATAAATAATTCTTCGTTTAACAGTTAGTCGCTTGGGTATTCGAGCACATCTTTCCTGCCGATGTCGTTGATAATAACATGGAGTTCCGATTGATGCTGAAGGAAAATGTAATTGTGTTATAAAACCTAAAACCACTACATATGATAACTGGATAAATTCGTTGATAACTCTAACTTGTAAAATGTGCTGCCATGATCTAAAAGTTTGAACCAATATGCAGACTTATTAAACTTAGAACTATTTCTAGCGGGAAACTTCTTGGTAAGTGATATCATTGAATGAGCATAGACGTACGTTAGAATGGGATGATAACCTCGTAGTATTACGTTGGCATTAAAATATACTTACAGTGTATGTCCGTCGTAGAAATCCACATTTGTGGCTAACTGTTGAATATCTGAAGATACGTATACTTATGGTGATAGAAAACCAGGTTTCAATGCGATTCTGACGGATGTTGTAAGTGAGTTACAAGCGATGCTGAAAGTAGGTCTGAGTGTCTCAAAGTTTTAAATGAATCTTGGTGCTAATTTGACGACTATAGTTTGTAACACCCTCTTGTTCAAGTATTAAGTATGCCGTTAAACATAATTTAATAGCAGGTTGTGAATAGTGTTTAGTTTTAAACGAACTTTGCTCCATCTACTTCTGTTTAGTATCATTAGCCTTTACTTAGAGTGTCTCATAACCCCCAAGTATCTGGTGAGTGAGTTAACCTAAAAAGGTTGTTTTAGGCTCTCACCTCAGTACGCGCATAACCTTTGGAAATAGGAACTTACTAGTCATCGGAAATTTCAAGGAAAACTCCCAGACTAGTAGAAATGGCGTGTCTTTTGTTGCATTGCCCAAATTTTCTAATATGACTCATGCAAAGTTTCCATAAAACTGGTCTAATCTTTCTCAAAGTTGGGATAGTGAGACTTTTTCTTCAAACGTCTACCTCTAGGGGAAGTGTCAAACAATTTACATCTCTGTGTACTCCGAGTAGTCTACTTTTCGCTTGAAGTTTGATCTCATTATTTCCCTTTCTCTTAGATTTAGGCCAAATAGTTCAATTTTCCTCTCCCTCAGAAACCAACTTTTCTTTGCAGTTAAAATAAGTTAGAAGAATGGTTTATGTGTGAAAATCCATTTATTTAAACAAATTTTAATAAGTTTACAAAAATACTAAAAACGGTAAGGTATTAGTGACATTCCTATTTTGCAACTGAAAATTATAGTTATTCTCGAATGCAATCTAAAACAAAGTAACAATTAGCAGTGTAGAGGTGGACTATTTGACGTAAATAGTGACTAGAAATGTCTCATATTTTAAACGGATCACCAACTCATGCATACTTTTACCATTTATTCCTCATTTATTTGGATGCAGCACATCCAACTGAATATGTATAAGTATGTTTAAAAAGCATTTTACTTAGAAAATTTTAGATAATAGTTAAGAAACTTCAAAAACATAAACGTATAAATCACATATTGTCATTAAGGAGCATAATTTTCATCAGTGGAATTCTGAAGTGAAATAATATCTGTTGGTTATTGGAAGAGGAGGGAATGTCTTTAAAATCTGGACCACGAAGATATGACACCGTGTATTGGGACTTACAGTAACCTTCAACAAAATTGGTGCGTGTATCCAGGAAACGGAAATAAAAAGTCAGTGCAAACTGTTACCTTCATTTTTTCCCTATATCATGAAAGTAATGCAGGTTTACGGTGTCGAAAACTGTCGCAAGACCTTTTTCACTGACACAGTGGTAAAAATCCTGATGTTTATCTGCCTAGTGAATAAAGAACCAGTCTTATTTCTTATGTTGTTGTAAAACCTATACCTATGATGTCCCCGTTTGGTAATAGTCCTAAACAAAGTAAACTTGCAAGTTCTGTCTTCATGCTGTAGGCGAAAATACTTCGAATGGATGTTTTCTGGGGATTATTTGTGCGTAGGTTAACGATTTCCAGCTTGTGTTAAAGAATTCTAAAAAACCTTTAGTTGACAAATTTATTATTCTAGTCTTCTTATCGAAGGTACATGTCCGACTCTCTCAGCTCCTCTTCCGTTGAGAGGGAATCGCTAATGCAATAATTCTGCATCCATCTTATTGAACATGCTACCAAAGCGTGACCGCCTAAAGTGAAATTAGTCTGCATTAGGTAATTGTTTAGTATTCATGTTCGTGAATGTTTTATTTACAGTGGTAATCTAATTAAATACACGTTTTATCTTTGCTTTCAGAAATCTAGGTTTAGAATGAATCATAACCAGTTTAAATTTGACTTTCCAATAGAACAAGTTTTGGAAGAATGGAAGACACTAGATGAAAATGAAGACATACCGGCTGAAGATCAAGAGAACGATAACGATGAATCGAATATTGTTAGTCAAGAATCCTTTTTTGCTCCTCACTACAAAGATGGTATTGAATATTTTTCCATAAAAAACCCTGAAAAAGTAAAGCAAGAGTGGCTTGAAGCTAGAAAATTAATTATACCACATATTCAGAACGTTGTAAAGCATCTAGTTCGAGAAAAATTTCAAAAATGATTGAATATATGAGAAATTATTCTTTCCCTGCATTTTAATTTTACTATTCACTGTTAATTATGTCATTTGAGTGGGTTTTGAATATAGATACATAAAAAGAACCTTCTGGATACATTTTTGCTCAGGATTACTTGGTAGTGCTTCATGATTTGATTCTTGACATGTCCCATTCTATATTCATTTCATGTTAGCTGTAGATTTTATGCCTATCATTGCCACCTATATTATAGTCATATGTTTATTTCACCTTATAACTCGTTTATATCCCGTTTAAACAGTCTTTAGTCGTCAGATGTTTTTTTTCAGTCTTGGTGGTTAACTGACTTGCTTTCTAATCAGTTGGTTGTTTATTTGGATTTTTCTTGAACTACTTTGGCTTGATTGACTTGGTTGTCTCATTAAATTTCACACAAAGTGTGCCTTTAAGAACAGTATAAGAACTGGCACCTAGTTTGCTTTTCAGAGGTTGTTACTGAATGTGAAATCAGACGCGGTTGTTGTGAGATCACTCATGCTTTTTCAGATCACTGTCTTCAATTTTTGACACTTAAACAGACTAAACAACAGATAAATGTTATTGAAACATTAGAAGGTTTCATTTTGATGTTATTTGTGCTTCAAGAAATTGTGTTTGAGACTCCGACAAAGTAATTTTTAAGGTCCTTACTGTTATGTTTAACCATTATAAGGTCAGGTTTCTTAAAATCTTGGAACGCCGACTTTAGCAGTTTGGATGCGACCTACATATCAACTCAAAAGCTAAGGAAATAGGCTGTCAATCCCTTGCACAGCCAAGTGGAATAAATGGTATTTCCGTTGAATTAAGACATAAAGGCACATTGTCTCTTCCTTTAACTTGGTCCTACAGGCTGTGCAACTCAATTTGCGATGTTATCAGACATATCTCAAAACAATAGCTAACATAGATACTGTTGTATTTCTTGTGAACAGCGAAATGCAACTAACTAAACTAAATTTATATTGATTGTCCTTGATTAAGTTGTATCTACTGACATTTTCATTTGTTTAAGTATCCTCTCTTCCATTCTTCATTAAATTGTTATCAAATTTTATGTAGTCTATGCCCTATTGATTATATCCGAACGTCTTTCTGTCTTAAAATTAAAGTGGAATTTATCACCTTTATTTTTGATGTGAAAAGCTTACGTACGTATTCTCTAAAACTACAGTATAAATATGACCCAAATAAAAAATGCTTTCATATTTCTGTTTTAAACTAGTATATGGCGCGCCTTATTAACAGATTTATAATGGCTCAAATATGTTACGGGCATAGTATTTGATTTGTAAGCTATTGTGATTGATTATTAAAGACACTTGTTTTGCATATAATCAATGTCTGCACATACTAAATCTGCAATGTGTTCGAAAGCCACGCTTGTTTAGTAGATAACAGTGTTTTCTTTAAGAACATAACGCGTAACATACAAAAGCAATGGCGAAATTACTTTTTATGCCAATAATCCGACTTCAATGATCAAATCTAACTCGAAATACGTACTATCTCCACATAATTGTTCGAGCTACTCAAAAGGATACATACTCATTTAGATGAGTCAAATCGTCTGGATGCTTTAAGTTGACTGAAAAGTTTCTGGTAAGTGATTCATGTTCGCTCCGATCAGTGCAGCTATGAGAAAATTGTTATCTATTACTTGCTCCCAACTGAAACAGTAATTTTCCATAAATTCTCTTAAGGTTCCATAAGTTCGTGTAGACATACCTAAAGAACTTGAAAAAGTAAAACACAATACTTTTATAGGCGGAGGATAAACACATTCTGCTGTTTTACTCCATTAATATGTAACATAAAGTACTTTTCTCGTCAGCACTTACAGTTTCCAGACTATCCTTGTTAAATACTGTGAAAAATGTCGAAAATTCTATGATAAACCCACTACTGAACCCATTCACTTTGAGGTGTAAGTAGTTCTTCTAATGTTTTGTCACTGACTTTAATTCAGAGTAACCCTTCATACGTATACTAACAGATTCCATCAATCTAACTGGACTACCTTTGAAAGAAGAACTAACCAAAAATCGACTTTTCGTCATAAACACCCATTTTATCATCTATGATTTCACTACTTGAGATTTAAATCATTCTTCGTTTTTGGTGACAACCCAAATAGTCTACCGAGGTTCCGGAACATCCATTTTATCATCTAATGTACAGTGTTATGAACGATAAAGGGATATGACAATTAGCATATTCTAGAGACTCATATCTATTTGATTCACTACTTAACGAAAACACTTCAAATGTTATGCATTTGTAGGGGCTGGTACTATGTCAAACCACATGGGTTATTCTAGCCTCTGGACAGACTGATCTATTCATTCCCCTCAAACCACATTTTTACTTTGTCACTTATTCTCTTATTAATCCTGAATGTTTTTGTATGATCTTGTGTTAATTACTTACCCTATTCATTTGTCCGTAATTTATTTTTGCTTGACTGTAAATATCGAGTCATGCTTGATTAAGTTAAGTTGGTTCACCCTCCTCCACTGCGCTACTACGTTTCATTTCGTCTTGCTTCGCTTCCTTCACTCTGATTGTCTGTTCAGATCAACGATTGTTTGAAATATATTTATGCAAAATCCACTCTCATACTTGACTTATTCAACCCCTTATTCTCTAACGCAAATTAAGTTGATAATTATATACGAGGGTAGCTAGCATGTATATTTGGATGACAATCATCATACGATATAACTGAAGTCCGATATCGGGCCAGTAAAGATAATAATTAATTCAATTGACGTTATCAAAAAACCCTACTATAAACGAACATTGATTGGCTGTATTTGAATTCATTTTTAATGTTTGTTATTAGATTTGAAACTGACGTATGTAATTTATTCAGTAGTGGTACTAATAAGTCTCACTGTTAACAATATTTGGGGATAGTCTATTGGTTTCTAACTTGGATCTTATCAACTACATGAATATTTTCGATAATGATAACTGTATTTTAAAGAGCTTTCTTCATATCTATAATTTGACATTAAATTGAAGAATGACTCTGAAAGAATTAGGTCCCACAGTTTACAACAGATTAGATCTGAAGACACATAGTGTAAAATCTAGCACAAATGTTTATCAGTCTAAGTTAACACCATTTCGTAATATGCTAACAGGAGCAGACAAGGGGATCGTAAACGTTTAGTCATGAGTTAATGTGACAGACTAATAAGAACTGTTGTGTGATTTTGGGGTGCTTAATTGTAACTTCAACTCTGCCGGTAGCTCTTGTAAATTTACTGCCAGCCCCAAGCCCGGGTAAAGGAGGAGGGTTGGGCATGGGGTTAGCGACCCCATCCCGTAGAAAACTAACTCGCTAAAAAACGCTAACCACCATCAAGAAGGTACAAGTATTTATAAATAGCTGTCTACGCAGGATGCTCAACATCCATTGGCCGGATACCATCAGCAACATCCTTCTGTGGGAGAAGATAAATCAGCTTCCAGCTGAAGAGGACATACATTACGCAAATCATCAAACTGCATCACGAGGCAAGCCCTAACTTGGAGTCCTGAAGGGAAGCTGAAAAGAGGAAGGCCAAAGAACACATTACGTCGGGAAATAGAAGCAGACATGAAAAAGACGAATAACAACTGGAAAGGATTGCCCAGGACAGGGTTGGATGGCGAATGTTGGTGAGCGGCCTATACTCCTTCACGAGGAGTAACAGGCGTAAGTAATTGTAACTTCGTTGAGCATATTGTATGCATGGATGTTTATTTCCATACAGTGCTAATTACCATTTTTATATTTATTGACAGCTAATAGAGCGAAGACATTTTTCTTCATGACTCTACGCTATATATATTTACGATTTACAATGAATTAGTGATATTCACTAGGTGTTTGTGTAGCGTAATAGTGGTTATAAAATAATGTTTTCATATGTGTAGACTTGTCAATTATTTACCGTTAACTTGGAGCACTTTTTAGTTGTGCTCGACTTATGTATATCCGTTATCTATACTTTAATTGATTACCTGCAATTCACACACTAATGACCTTATGTAGTGACTAAGTTACCCACTGTCCACTGATTTGACTTATACAGCTTGCCCTATTTAGATTAATTCAATATCTATCATCCTTCGCCCAGTTTGCCTACTCATATAAATGCCTAAAATATGCATGTCCTAAATACATACCGTATCCAGTTGTTTATTTCTACGCGATTGGTTGACAGAGGATATACAAAGTTAAGGATGAATGTATTTAGTGAACATCGTCATTGATTGATCATGTAGTCAACAATAGAGACGCAGTGATAAACCCGATTTCAGAAGAAATATGAACTCAAAAAAAAACAGATGCAGATGACATACTCATCGAATTCGATGCAGACAAAGAATTCGATTCAGCACACATAAATACACTAAAGTCGAATTGTTCAAACTACGTGCCGGTTACTTCTATCCGTTAATTTTGTAAATCATTCATATTATCGTTGTATTATCCGCAAAAGTTGTAGATTTATTATAAGATTACAACAATCAAAGTACTAACTCTTCGGATCATTATATTTATTTAATATTATATATTTATTTACTCCTATTAGTCATTCATCCACTATATCGTTATTGGCGTCACGACCTTCACAAATCACTAGACCATTTCTTTTTAGTGCACAATCCCGCTTCTTTTCCCGTTTAAAGTGAGTTCGTCCCACTTTTTGTCACGTAATATCTATGTCACATTATACACGCACTTCTTTCTCCTTTCGATTTCATCTCTTAGTAATATGTCAGTGAATCTTTTTGATAAGTCAAGTCTTCATATTGTTCTGAATCGTCCATTGCAGCAATTACTGTGAGATAGGTCATTTATTTTTGTGCCCATCATTATCTCATAATTTTTAAGTATTTATAAAGATAAATAAATCCTTAAATACCTTCGTCAGCAATAATGACCTTATTAATTTTACTAGATTCACCTCTAGTTGAAAGTGCTCGGTCAAGCATCCACATCGGACCACATTTAGTACGCGGTGCTCGCGTCTCTTGCGGTGGTTTAGTTTAAATTCTATACACTACGGCACATAAACCTGTAATCTAAATAAGTATTCACATCTTGTTATCCTTGACCTCCGGATCTATTGGCTTTGGAATCATTGTGCAATAATATGTTTAATTCTACTGGTTACGGCTTCTCACTATCAGGTTCGAAAATCTCCTCTGAAAATGTCTCAATAATCAGCACATGAGAAGCCATAATCCGTGCAGCCCAGACATTTATGCGAATCGATTACCCACCAGTGAAATTAGAAGTTGGTTGCACAATATCGTGAACTAATTACGATTGGAAATATAAATAATTAAATTCCGCCCTAGCAATCTAAAGGTTAATCACTCGCTGCAAAACCTGGAGCTCCTAGGTCTGACAAACGGCGAGGTCTTGGATGCACAATGGTGGGGACTTTCATACTAGGATGAAACAAATGTCCAGTCTTTTCTGATTTTTAATAATTATCTAACTGAGAACAATCCGTAATGTTAAGTACAAAATTTAACGATTTCCAGAAACCCTCTACAGTAAAATAAATAATCAAATACTCATTCAGTATAAAAAATTATGTTGTTGGGAAAAATTACTAATACAACTAATGTGAAGAAAACTCCATGTACATTCAGAGCATTGGAGATACAAAAAGGAGACTGATTAAAGGTAATGTACTAAGAAGCGAAAACGATAATATGTTATAAAATATCTAGGTACATACATTAATAAACCTAATCTAATCGCCTACAGATATATCACTACATATGTCCAGAATTGATAGAACAATAAGAACCCAATAACACAGTAATCATAACTACAGGTAGATGAAATAATGTTGCTCGAAATAAACGTCTTGCAGCAGCAGAACTTCCATCAGCTACATTTGAATTGGATTTGGCGAATTTCCATGCATAATAAATCAAGCCTATATTAGCTGGCAATGAACCAATGCCTAATGCACAACCAGCCCATGGTCCTAAACTTAGAGCACTGCAACCAGCACCAGCTAAACAAACTAAACTTGATGCTATTGAATAACGTAAAGCAACTCGCTTGCATAAATCCGGATTGATGATAGATGTCATTGCGTAACCAGCTTTGGAATATTCGCTACGCAAATTCCAGCTGAGTGCCATAAAGTGTGGAAATTGCCACACATATAACAAACATGCTAGGATTATTGAACCTAAAAAAAAGAAAAAAACGTGAAGAATATTAATAAATTATAGAATAGGACAGAAACTGTTATAGTTTGTTGTGAAAGGAGAAAACTGAGCACATGCACATCATTATGGAAATACTTGAGGTTAAATAATTAAGCTACATGTTGCCCGGTTAGTTGTGAAAATCGATCAGTTTCGGAAACAGTAAACACGGTGTTGTCATTATAATATCTGAGTTTTTTTCCAACATATACACAATTTCAGACAATCTCTGAAACACACAAGGTAAGCGTGAGTGTGTTCATGGCACCAAAGGAAGAAATGTAGTTTCTAAGAATTTTTCATGTGGAAGATATTGTTTGACTGGTCCAGAATACTTCGTTAACCTAAATGGCATAGTAAACTTCATCAAAAGTTCATATGATAGCACCACTAAACAAGAAGCATGTACACTCACCACATTAAATATCATTTTTGCAAAAGTGGTTTGTGTGAGTTTCCACAAATTAAAAATGGTTTCAACCATCGACTGACATTGGTCGGAAAATCAGTGAAAACAAGTGGCGCTTAGAAAGTTTCGTGGCAGTTCAGGATTCCATACTAGAATGAAATAGTTATCCACTGATGACATTGGATAATAGCATGATGCAGTGGTGGAAACTGAATAAAGCTAGAAATCGAGTTGTATTCGGTTATGGATTATTTATTTATTCATTTAAACATATAAACGTTGGTAAAAAGGGGCACCAAATATATATGTACCACAAAAATTACCACCAACTCTATGTGGGCTGAGATATTGCTCGGGTTCCCAAACTAGAGCAGGTGGTTTTCTTAGAGGGCCACTCGCCGAGCCTTTAGCCTAAAGATCTAGTCTACAAGAAGGTGGGATAACGTTAGATGCAGTCCCATGGTACCCGGTGACCAAGAATGGGTTTATGCACCGTCTGTTCCTCCAGGACCCTGGAGCCCATGTGCAG